TCAAGCACCATGCTTGTGTCAATACCTGATAAAAATCACAGATAAGAAAGCATTGTGAAGTCCCATACCCTAGATCCAGTCCAATGGGATTATTTAATTTTAAAATGTATATATATATATAGGTTATATTCCACTAGTGTAAAAGTAAAACCCTAAATGAGGAAGTAGAGCTATTGTCTCATTAACTTAATGTAGCAAAGATAAAAAAGACTGCTCCAAACAGTTAAATGGTATTTGATATTTATAATTAATAATACTTTAAATCTCAGTCTAGATTAGAAATTATGATATCACATGGTAAAGAACACATATTCAAGTCTGAATCTTTATACAAAGGAGAAATGTTAGATGAGTCCTCATTAAAGTAAGATACTAAAGTCAGGCGCAACTTCCTGAATGCATAAAGGAAGGCTATGCCAGACCACCCCAGCATCACTGGGCCTTAGAAGATGCTGTAGATAACATAACATTCTTTTAGTTAGTCATTTCTTCTGATTAATGGCTTGCTTTCCTCTGAAAAATGATTCCTTCTTTTTCACAGTTATAGAAAGTAGAAGTGGAACTCACAGAATCTCCAATGAGGTACAGTCTTCTAAAGCCCAATGAATGTGGGGAGAGGAGAGTCTGGTTCTATCAGACAGTGGCGAGTGTGTAGGATATTACTCCCTTCACTGCCTCTTGTGCCTTGATGGAGGATGGGGTAACAATCCCTTGACTGGGTGAGGTTCTGTGATGAAAGTAACTGTAACTCCCTTGACTGTGTCTTCTTCTCTGATGAAGCTAAGCACCACTTCCTTGACTGAGTTGTGTTCTTTGACGAAGGTGACCAAGTACCACTTCGTTGGCCAGATCATGTACTATGATGAAGGTGACTAGGTTCCACTCCCATGACTGGGTCATGTTCTTTGATGAAGTTTACGGAGTTTTGCTCCTTGATTGTGCTTTCCTACATAAGGTTCCATCTTAGGTAGGGACAGGTTCCATTGCTGCTTTTAAGATGCAAACAGACACACAGTTTATAGGGAAAGCCACATGATGGAGCCAACTTACCCCACTTCTCAGACTTGAGAGCAGCCTCCAGCCAACAGCCAATCAGCATCCATGACACAAGAGCTGGAGGAGATGCACAGCACAGTGATCTATAAGTTTGGGAGAATTCTTTCATTTCTTCTTTTCTTTCTTCCTGTTACTAAATTCTACCATTTATTACTTAGAAAGTAGAGAGAGTAGTAAATTTTATGCAAAATCCTGAATGAATCTGTTAAAAACATTTTTAGCTCAAACATTTCAAATAAAAACTTATCAGTTTTAAGTAACAGTGGTGAGTCTTTTTTCGTTTAAAAAAATATTCATTTATACTAATTTTTTCAGAATTTCATGTAGTATATTTTGATCATATTTGGACCCCCAGTCTGTACCCCTCTCATATCTTCCTTGCTAGATTTCATGGACTCGGTCATATATGTTAAGACTTATTGAGCCAAGTCTGTGTCTCCAAATGTCCTTTGGTGTGTGCTCACCCACTGGAGCCTGGTTAACCTATCTAATGTCACACCCTTAAAGAAAACCAACTTTCCTTCACAGAGCAGTTATAGGCTGCCAATAATTTCTCAGTTGACACTGGAGCTTCTTATATGCCTCCCAATTTCTTTTTTTTAAATTTTTTTTCAAAAAGTTTATTAAGAATTCCATATATGCATATAAGGTGTTTTGATCAAATCCATGCCCACTCCCTCCCCTCCAACATTCCCCCCTCTGAAGAGGTAACCCTAACATCTTTTAAGGATTAGATACAAGCTCCCAAATACTTTTGACATTTTTGGCCTTGGAACAGAGTATGCTGCTAACAGGCCCAAGGGCATTTTGAATTTTAGCCCAGAAACTGGCTACATTTCTTTGGGGTCTTTTTACCATAACTGCCTAGCCAATTCCTACCTCCTATTCTTATCACACCATCCTCTGAAGAGGTTACCCAAATTGCCAATAGGGAATAGGGACACAGACCGCTCTGGCTTCTTCTATGCTGAATGGGGACGCAGGGTGAGGCAATTAGAGTACCCCTTTAGTGGGTCTATCTAAAAGACTCCCAAATTCTATACTGGGATTTTGTCTGACTTGAGCTTACCTGGGTGTCGATCGTGTCTTGAGGCTGAGGAAACTTAACAGAACACCAACAAGAAATAATCCCTTATATTTGTGGACTGAGAATTAAAAAATTTAGTTTTCAGTGAGCAATAAGAAAAGTGGCTAGAGGAAGAGAAGAAAGTCAGAGATTGGGGATAGAATCCTTCCTGGTTTTCATTTAGTGTCCCCTTCCCTATTTCTGTCCACTTTACAAGAACTTGCATTTAAATCCTTGGTTTAGCTGCTATATCATACTTTGGTGCCATTTTAACAAGCTCCTCTCTTTAAGTCAATATGTCTCAAGTTGACATCTTCTGTTTGCAATCAAAGCTTCTACGCAGCTGAAGTAATGCAAAGAAAGGAGATTTAAAACACTCCTATCAACAGTGGGCCACTTGCCAATTCTATACCCTGAAATATCACTTTCTAGCTCTATAAGTTCCTTTCATGTCAAGTTTTGCTGATCTCCAGGGCAAATAACTCTGATCCTCAATTCCAGTTAATGAAGCAAACTCTTTAAGCCTCTGAAGGGGGAAATACATTTTATGGGTTTAAAAGCTATTACTCCATTAAAATTTCTTTTGGGGCTAACGTTAAAACATTTTTCAGAAGGAAGGGGTAAGCACAGATGTTACACAGAAATACTATCTGCCTCCTATAATCCATCTTCGGACTATGTCTGAAAGTAACCAGTTATTCACAGACGCAAAAGGGTTAACTGTTCACTGAAGTCTTAAACTAGTGAATAATGTCATGGGAAATATTATCCAGATAAAGAGATCGACACAGGTCAATTTAGCATGACATAAAAAAGACCTGAATTGCTCTTATTATTCCAAATTTGAAACCTGAAATAAAGAGATACCAAGAGTCAGCACTGCACTTCTGCTGAAGGCTAAAGTGAAGACCGCCCTCTGAGCACCGTCACTCCTAGCCCTCTTACCTTGGGCCATTGATTGATGTCTTTTCTCAATGTGAAAATGCCTTGTGTCAATAAGGCCAGAGAGATGCGAAGGACAAGTGCTTCTGGAGGGTTCTGCTCACTGAGGGAAACTCATTTTAATTTGCTTCAGCTCAAGGAAATGGAAATCTAATTAAAGATGCCAATTGCAACCATGAGTAAAATTCACACTGAAGATCTGACGGGGCTGTTGGTTCATAGAGGGGCACAAATAAGTCCCCTGGCTCCGTCAAAGTAACATAATTGAGGTTTCAGCAAAAGGACATATTTGGGTTGGATATTTTAAGAGTAAAAAGGTTTGGAGATTGGAGAGATGGCTCAGAGGTTAAGAGCACTGGCTGCTCTTGCAGAGGACCCAGGTTCAATTCCCAACATTCACATGATGACTGACAACCATCTGTAACTCCAGTTCCAGGGGATCAAACTCCGTCTTCTTACCTCAGTGGGCATTGAACGACATAGGTGCAGTTATATACATGCAGGCAATATACTCATAAACATAATAAATAAAATAAAAATAAATAAAAAGAATAAATAAAATGTTTTTTAAAAAGTTTGTGGAGAAATAAACAGAATGGGGGCATTTATGAGAATGTCTATAGTGTTCAGGAAGCAGCAAGTAGTTGTTCTGCCTGCGTGTGTGTGTGTGTGTGTGTGTGTGTGTGTGTGTGTGTGTTTGGTAGTATTTTAGGAAGTGAAACTGGGAGATATTCGTATTATATTGAAGATGTATAAAAACAAAGTATTTGGATTCCATTTCAAAGTCATTAAAAAACTGGGTGTGATCCAAGCATTCTGGAGAAACTGAGGCAGGAGGATTGCAATCTGAAGGCCTTGAGTATATCGCGAGTTCCTTTCTGAAACAAACACAAGCAAGAACATAAAGTAACAGTACAGAAGGGGAGAACAGGGAGAACTTTAAGGAAAATGAGTCTACATACTCCTTTTTACCTCAGCTAAAGTCAGGGATAATGTGTGAATGAATCCAGCAAGTGTGGGTGTAGCAGACCCCACAGTTGTTACTAGGCCTGGAGGAGCAGGGTGGTGCTTACAGTACAGCAGAAGGAAAGGCAGTGCAAAGTGGCTCCAACTCCCACTGGCTGATGGAAGCCCAAAGGCACACTAAGAGTTTTCAAACTCGTTGCTAAATTGAACTTTTTGTGTGACAGAGACAAGTTCACATACCGCAGCATGGTCTGACCTTGAATAGTGGCATCTACCTGCCTCAGCTTCTCACATACTGGAATTGTGGGTGTGAGCCACCATGCCTGGCTAATTACCTCTACCCTTAATAAATCAAAAGATCTATGTAAACTTACAATACATTGTGTTAAAATAAAGGTAATAAGCATTGAAGATGCATCACTTTTTTATTGCAATGCGTGTTTCCTATGCTCCTCGTACTGTTTAAACCCACTGCCTCTGATAGGTCTATTACGGGACTGTCAGACACTATGCAATGCCCTTGACCCTCCTGTCAGATGCCACATTGCTAACTGGATATCATCCATGGATTTTAGCCTTATGCATTGTTTTATCATTTTTCATATGCAAGAAAATGGAAAATGGAAAAGCTAGTGATTCGGGTTAAATGTGTATCGTGCCAATACCATCATACTGTGAATGACATAAAAATGAGGAAATGGTCTTCCTGTACTCCAAAATATCTGCCCATCCCAAAGAGTCACATTTTCCTCAACACCTGAGCTCCACATATGTCTCAGATCTCCACTTCTGTTTCACTCATGAATATGAATGAAAATATGATCTCACATCTCTGCAGAAAATACATTTTCATTCATTTTTAATTACAAGACATTGGCATTTAATATAGAACTTCAGCAAAATTTAAAGGATTTGCATTGATTTCTTATTTTTGTTTTCCTTTCTTTTCTTTTTCTTTCTTTTTCTTTTACAGGGGAGAGTACTGACAGAGTCCCCCACTACCACAATTTATATAGTCTAGCTTCCTGCATTTGGGAGAAATCGCAGGGTTCAGCACATCCCAAGTGCAGTGGATGAGCCTTGGCCTGGAAAAACCACCTTCCTGATCTTGGTGTTTCCCCTGTCAGGTAAGTATTGCATTAATTTCTTACACTTGGTATCAATTTCTTTTATTCCTTTATGATTACAAGTTGTTTGTATATATTTTATAAAGACTGAAATTTTAAGAAACTGTACACACATCCTTCCAAACTCCATTGATCTCTTTGTTGTGTATTTTTAGGAGCACTCATGCCATAGGAAAGAGATTGATAAGGATTGACAAGAGATGGTTAAAAACGAACATCAAGGGACATCTGGGGACACAAATGACTGGACTCGATGGCCTTAACATTATGGCAGAATGTGTTAAATCCAGTGGAAAGCTTATGCAGAGTGCAGATGGGGGGAGGTTCTAAATATTGTTATGATGTATTGTATGGAATGCACAGATTCAATAAATATAAAAATTAAATAAGAAATAAGTGGGAAAGCACTGTGACCACAGATCTATGAATAGAAGATCATGGTATCCTTAGCGGAGAACCTGCACCCTGGCATGATCAGCTACTCTCGGAAAATGGCAAGAGAGATAGAGAAAAGCCAAGCTGTGCCCACCCTTGCTGGAAATCACACATATTTCAAGGATCACAACAAGTTGGAGGTCTAAGCAGTTTAGTATTTCTGTTCAGATTCAGAATTTCTGGGGTCTCACAGGGTTTTATGATCTAGAACATGGAGGAAAACCTGACAGTACAGAGTGCTATGACTTTGAGCTCCTGTGTTCTGACTTGATGAAAGTTTGGTTCTTTCTCATGAGTAACATGGATTCTGATACCCAGAGGAAGAGAACATCAGTTTTGTAGTAGGCAGAAACAATTTACTCAGACACTAGCTACACCAAATCTGTGTGGTGTCAAACTGTTCTTTTGATTAGTGCTTTTATTTATTTAGAGAAATGTAGATGCACTTCTAATAAATGAGGTATTAATAATCTCAAACTAGAATAATATAAAGATTCAATGGGGGAGATATTAGAAAGAAGAATGAGTTATTAGCTCTCCAAAATCAAAGCTGCTATTATTCATTCTGCCTCAGGCAGTATTTTGAAAAATCAAATTGCTCTTATACTTTTATCATGTGATTTTGCCTTAGATTTAGTAACTGTACCTGTAGTCATGGTGAGCTGAGCAGACGTACTTGCAGTATTTGCTTCTTTTTCCACTCAGCTGTGTGTGGGGCTCAAATACCTTTGGTAATAATTGATTTAATTTCGTGTGTAGTATACAAGCTGAGATATTCGTAGAGCACAGCCAGGTTATAAAAACAGCAGGGAAATCCTTTTTGACAGAAGATTCTGGGGAATTCAGTGCATGACACAGGAAGTAGTACTCTTAGGAAGTAGGAGCTCAGTCTGCTTACTGGTTCAAAATCCCAGATTTATTCTCTTAGATCATAGCATCGTCAGCTCATAGCCTGCACTTCTGATGCCAGCTGGCTGTGATTTCAGCCACAAATGTTGCAAAGGAAGATATTCCTTGACTTCAGCATAGCCACTCTCCAGATAACAGATTTCCCGGGACTCTAGCTCCATGTCACTTGCATTTTACAGTAAATGTTTATCTGCATCACTTGAGCTTTTTGGCTAAATTTGTAGGAGCTGGCACAGGAAATGCATTAACGGTCCCTTTAATCTGACAGTCCCTGGAAGAAGCCCACTTCTGCCATTTCATGGGAAGACACAACATGGGCCATAATGCATCCAGCCAGCTGAAGTTCGCAAGATTGAATTATCTGAGAAAGGAAGAATGGATTAAAACTCTGATCAGCCATTAAAGGGATCGATCCATTTTACTGGCATTGAGATAGAGCCTGCGTGCACCTTTCAAGGCAATGTTAAACATGCATAGAGCCAGCTAAAAACTCCATATGGATACGTATTTTGTTTCCAGGAACTAGCATTATAAATGTAGACCCTATTTTCATTATTTTTACATTTAAATGAATTATTATATGCATGTAAGTCCAGTCAAGCATTGATATAACGTTATGATTATACCCCACCAAAGCCTGTTAGTCTAAAAATCCTGTGATTCACGGTATTGTTTGAGGGAAAGGTGCACCAGCGTTACCTGAAAACCTGTTATGAATTTAAACTTCCATTTGTGGTTTAGACCCAAAAAAGTCAGTATTGACATTTCTATCCATGTAAGGTTCACATGCCCAATAATGATTGAAAAAGAATTTCACAGAATACAGCAAAACCAGTACTAAACATAATAGCAGTTACTGATTGCCTACTTTTCAAACAACTGAATAGACTTATCATTGCCAAATTCCTCTCCAGGTACAAGTCATTTTTGTACAGTGTGTAGAGACTCTGCCTTCTTAGTCGAGTCCTTCCGTTGATGTGGTCATCAGTTCTCTCATGTCAGGATAAAAAATATCTGCTAGGATTGTCAAATGTACTAGAAAAGTCAAGTGAATTCCTCTTTCTCTCTGATGCATACTCAGAACTAGTCCCTTCATTTCTCCATGATGTTCATGTTTACTCTTTGGAAGATGGCAGTCCTAATGTTTAATTTTCCTTTACGTGTACCACTGTCTTAGGTTCCCATAGTTAAGTTCAGATTTTGATCCTTAGCAGAGACATTGGGAACTGATACTGTTCTAATGCATTCCCGCAGGTTGTTTACAACTTAAACTTTTCCTTTGCAGGGGATGTTAACTTAGCACATAATTAAGATAGTACTACGAGACTTCGATGTAAAGTTAATCTGTTTTCATTTGTAATTAATAAACTTTGTGAGTTCAAAGACCCTTCCTCAACTTGCAATCTATTTTTCATTTATTTATTTACTGATTTTTTTTTGTATTTCATACAGAACATCCCAAACAATCTTACTCATCTTTATATCTGCATCCCAAATGACACCCTCCCATAACCTCCCCACCCCCCACTTAAGCCCAGCTACACTGTCATCCCTGTTACTGCCCACTGTGTTATCAGTGCCCACAGACATTCATTCCCCAGTGCCAGTCCATCCACTGAGTCTAGTCAGCCTATCAAGAATTCCTTGTCTTAGGAAGATCAGCTCTTCCTCATCCAGAAGCAATCAGTTGTCAACATTCCTTTAGATAAGATTGGGGTTGGCTGTTTGTTTTCCAAGTTCTATACTGGGTTACTGTTTGGGAGTCTCCTGGGCGACCCTGGCCAACAACTCAAAGGAAAGTATCTCCTGTCTTTCCTGGGTAAATTCCCCAAACACCCACTGCACCTTGACTCTCCCAGTCTCTTTTACCCTCCCGACTACCCCAACCCATCTCTCCTCCTAGCATGAGCACTGGCCCATTTCTTCTCTTCGCACCCCAGGCTCCTGGACTACCCTCTTGACCTAGGCTCCCCACTGCTTCCTGATCATTTGCACCCAGACCAACCCAATTCCTCCCTCTAGTTCTCAGGAGCCCTCGAGGCCTGTTCCCTCCCCCATGTCACCACTGTATGCCTGAGACAGGACCTACTCCCAGACCAGACCAGCCCCCAACTTCCTGAGTCCAGCATCTTTCCTGGAGGGATCCAGACCTTAAGAAGAAGTCTGAGAGCATCTGATCTTCATCCGACTTGGGCCTCTGTGAGAACTCCTGAGCAGCAGGACCAAAGCCATATGGTCTCTCCAATATAAAGTCAGAGGAGAGAACATGATGTCTAGACAAACCAGCTCATCATACTCAACAAGGAATCTATTCATTTATATCAATATTGGCTCATTTATTCAATGAATAATCATCTAAGATTACCATCATTAATTAGATGCTGAGTTTTCCAGATTTACCCATTAGGTACCCTGCAGAATATGGGTTCTGGATTCCTTTAGTGTTTTTCTGTCATTATTTTAGCATACCCTTATTTTTCAACACAACACCTGACTACAGGCTCATCTTGTACTTACCCTGACAATCCCAAGGTCAGCTGTTTTATCAAGGAGCTGGGGTCATATCACTGGACAATGGCAATGTACTTCATGATAGAGCATGTCTGTATGCTCACTGCTACTGAGATATTCTGTGTCCAGATCATCTAAGTAGGGTGAGATTAGGAAGTACGGAACTGTATGAAGTGATCCCCTTCAGGGACATACTATGTTGTACCTTTTACACAGGTAAATTCTTCTCACCTTGACATTTTGAAAACTTGACCCTTACCACCTCTGTTCTTCCCCTCCCGTTTAGATGCCCTTTTCATCAGGTACAGGCCTCACAGTAAGACAGCCTTCTGCATAAGGGGATTTTTACTCTGAGCAGGCACCAGTGCCTTACTTCAGATCATGGTTCCTGGTGACCTCTTCCTTGCAAGCCCTTCTTTACCAACTGGACCTTGCAATGCCATGTAGACCACTGTAGTGCCCTATCCCTACTTCACTGTGTGAACACCTTTGTTATATCCAACCCGTGTGTCCTGGACCCGAAACACTGGAAGGGAACGGTAAGAATGGAGTAAGAGAAAAGGAAATGTGAGTTTGTGTCAACTCGGTCCGACCTCATTTCCCAGTTCTCAGTCAAAGCTAGTCAGGGTATCACTGTGAATATATTTGTGATTAAAGTTCGTTAACAATTTTAAGTACCAGATATTACACTAGATCACATGGGTAGGGATGATTTAATAAGTAGAAAATTCCCTGAGAAGCCATTTTGTCTACAGTCCACAATTGCATGCCATCAATGCGTTCTAGCCTCTCATTCTGCTGGCTGGCTCTACATATGAGGGTGTGTCTCACAGCTCTCCATTGCATTGGCCCAGTACAGGAAGAAACTCTAAATAGAGGTATTGGCTCCATGACTCCCTCTGGTGTGTTAAATTATTAGTGATAAAATAACAAAATTCTTCGTGGTTCCTAGGGTAATGATTGTATTTTATATTAAGTATATCTTTTACTTTTCACCATGTGTTTTTATTTTAGTTATGTATATGCGTCTGTGTGTGCAGTGCCTGAAGAGGACACCAGATCCCCTGGAGCAAAAGGCACTCTTTGTTAGCCTCCCCATGAGTGCTGACCACCATATTTAGGTCCTCTTGTAGAGCATTACATGTTCCTAACA